AGTAAGGCCATGCCTTTAACTTTATTGAAATTTAATTGAATTTTTTTACATGAAATATATAGGAAAGAAATTACATTTGAACATCATATCCAGAGGATACTAAGATTAAAAACTCAGAGTGTGGCGACTTAGTGAAGTGGTGAAGTTGTTGCACCCCCAAGTGGCAAGAACAGAGTTCGAATCCTATCGATGACGAAAATTCGAATTCTTAGTACAGTATTATGCCAACTATGAGTGTAAGGGCGAATCAACATTTGTAACTAGGTCACACCAGCTCATATTAGGAGACTGTGGAACACTAGTGTAATGTATGAGTTACATGAAACCTGAATGAAGTAGTCGTGTAAATCTGAGATCAGCGCACATGGAAGCCCGCTTGGCAAGCACCGAGTAGAGAGATAGCACAGATCTTTAATGGTACTACGTAAAGGATTATCATTCGGAAACCAGAGAACCGAACGGAACCAAAGTGTTTGGCAAGGCACTCTACCAACCAGGCTGCCGGAGAGTACCGGAGGAAAAGGACCCAACCGTGGGGACCAGAAGCAGGTCACAGCTCTTCCAGACTATCTAGATTAGAAGTTTGGGGCAATGGATGTACGTCAGATAGTCTGTATAGTAGGTGCTGTGGTCTGGGTGAACTCTATAAGGGCGTAGTAGGTAACGGTAGCAGCTTCAGCTCGCAAGTACTTGGTCTCAGCCTAGACATAAATTACCAAAGTAGACTAGGTAATACAGTAATAGTGGGTACCGAACTGCTCTAGCAGGTGATGCACTTGAGGATGAATCGGTTAACCATGCCGGTAGTCCTATAAGTGGTGCGCAATGATTTTAGAACTTGGACTGACTTATATATCGCATATTCTGGGTGAGATTAGATGGATTGGCAGGGAAATTTGGATCAGAGGGTTTAATTGGGTAACTCAAGTAATAGTGGGTTATAGATACAGCATCTAGTGTAGAACCTAGTAATAGGTAGATACTTAATTAGGCGCTCAAAAGGCGCAGATATGGCTAGTATGTATCCTCGTCAGAATATACTTGTCTGGGGTCCCCTTGAAAAAGACACTACATGATCCTAGTATCTAATAAAAGCGGAAAGCCAAAGAGGCTAACCTTGAAAAAAAAAAAAAAAAAAAAAAAAAAAAAAAAAAAAAGATTAGAAACTCAGACACAATGTTATATTAATATAATTATCTGTGGCCTAAACCTAGCTAAGCAAATATTTATCTTTTCAGTTCTTTGGTTTTATATATATAGTTTCTTAAATTTATTATAAGTTTATATTAACTACTGTAATACCAGTTTGTATATTTTTATATAATATATATTTCTTTTAAATATTTAATGATATCTGATATAACTTTAATTATTAATATTACATCTAACTGATTAATAAGAGACAGTAACTATAATATATAACTTAATATTAAATGTTATTACTAGTAGAATTTGAACCTAAATATACTGCTTAGAATATGACAATTTCACTATTTTACTAAATTGATATATTTAATTAGAGTAATACTAAACATCACTACAGGTAATCGTCACCGCTCATATATTCGACTAATCAAATTATATAACTAAAACAATAACAAACTAAGAAAAATATCGATAAATATTTTACTATAATAATGAATCTTCGAACACTAATTAAAAGTTTTCAGCACAAAATTTTATGTATAACTTTACCTTCCTCATATTAACTCTATCTAATCCTAACTCTAAACCTTGGTTCTTTAAAATCGATGTAATATAGTAGTAATGATCACCTGCAGTGATCTTTAGCAAAATTCTTGAAAGAATATTTTTTATATTAATGTTTTGGATCTAGTGGGATCCAGCAGCCCACTAACTTTTATTAGAAGCGATTCTATCAAAATAAGTATATAATACAAAGCTATAGTATTATATTAATTTTTGATTTTTTAAATGAAACAACTAATAAAATCGATTTGAAAGTTTCGAACTTCACGTAAGCAAGTGTTGAAAGCAAAATTATCAATTAAGGAGTAAAAGGAGTAATGTGAAGTTGATCTCTGATTTAGCCAATCAAAAGTCTTACTAATCAACCAATGAAATCCATAGGGATGTTAAGTGGCGCGTCTGGTTCGGTCCCGGTCCGGTCCCTAAAAGGTCTGGTCCAGAACTGGTTGAAAACTAGTTTACCCCCCTGTAAAAAATTAGTCCTACAGTAGTCCTACAGTAAGTTCTACCCTAGCGGTTTAATAATACTCTTTATTAAAACTTTACTGTTATTACATAATAACTGTTACAAAAAACGCGTATTGGTATACTAATCTTAAACCTCAAAATTATTTTTTACTATCCCTGCGTCATACCACGTTTTTAAACAGAGACTTGCACGGACCTTTTCATCTTCCAACCGGTTTCGTACTGCATTTATTGTATGTTTTGCAAGGGAAAAGGCCTGTTCGCTCGGGACACTGGTTGCCTGAGCAACCAGGTAGTCCCGAGCCATTTTAACAAGAGGTACCCACTTTATATTTGAAGATTTTGATTTCCAAAATGCAAGAGTATCTACATTTTCATCGGGCATATTTAAGTATTCATCTAATACATTACAACTAACTGACATATCATCATAAGTTCGTTTTAGCTGATTTCGAAAGTAATCGCGAGCTGAGCTGAACTGACTTAAGCATGGGATCTGATTAGTCGTTCCATTATCAGAAGGGGCGTAGTTTTTATAAGTTTTATTAATTATTTGACGCACATAATTTCTTTCATAGCTAGAATAAAAAGTAGAAAATTTGGATGATGGGTCAAGTAACACCGCTTCTGGAAGGGAGGATTGTAATTCGTTCCAATATTTATCAAGTTTTTCAAGAATTTTTTCTGATATTCGTGATTTTGTTGAATTTATTTCTCTTTTAGCTTCAGTAAGGTGTGTAACAATTACAAAAAAAACTGTGCGCACATCTCCAATAGTCGGGTGGGTCGACGAAGAAAGTAACTTGGTAGCTTCATAAATGGGTTCCAACAGAGTTATTACGATTTGAATATTATTCCAATCTTGAATAGTCATGTATTGTTGTTTAAGCTGTGGCATTGAAACCACTAATATATCCGTCATATCTTTTATTTTATATAGTTTACTTAACATCAAGTACAACGAATTCCATCTGGTTTCACAGTCGAGCTCAGGCATTAAAACTGGTTGGTTCTTCATCGCGAAAATTTTTTTTAATTCTTCTAGGCAGGGTTGGGAGCGACGAATATGGCTTGAGAAATTTCGTGCTTTTTTTGTTGACTCATCAATCATAGAAAGACCATTAACGACAGCGAGATTAAGTATATGGGCGGCACATCGCAACCTGCAAAAAGCGTTGTTATCATAGTGATATTCTAACATACTAGCAAGATGTTCACCACAGGCATCCATGTTACTAGCATTGTCAGCGGTCATCGACAAAATTTTTCTTCCTAAACCAAAATCCTCGATTAATTTAAAAATTGTTTCGGCCAAAAAACCACCTGTATGGCGCTCATGCAAAGGAATAAAGTCCAAAAGTATACGGCGCAACTGCCACTCGTCATCGATCCAGTGCAAAGTGATTGCAAGAAAAGCTTGGTTTGTGCATGCGGACCATGCATCGGTCGTGATTGACACCTTATGCCCAAAAGTTTTAAGAAAATTACGTAGTTGGCTACGTTCTCTTTCATACAGCTGCCAGATATGGATCGAGATCGTTTGCCTGCAGGGAAGCCTATAGCGGGGGTCGAGTTCAAAAACAAACATACGAAGGTCTTCATCTTCAACCACACAAAATGGTTGTTGATTGCAGACAATCCATCGAACCAGGAGACCATTCAATCTTTTTATTTTTTTTTCATCACGAACACCATAATATTCTACAGCTCGTGGAGGTGACAACTGAAGCAATTGATGGTATTCGGATTTATGGTTACTTTCGAAGTGCCGTTTGATTGTACTAATACCAGTTCCAGTACTGTATTTTGTTTTAGGGCACAGGCTGCAGAGAATGAATTTTTTATCTGGAGTTGGTTTAAAATAATTCCAGATAGGGTGTGCATTTTTACCACACTTGAAAAATAGTTCTTCAGTTCCTTCAGCACTGGTTTCTTTATTGAAATCGGAACTCAATTCAATTACAAAACTCTCGTCTGGACGAGGAAGTGTATTAGAGGTAGGTGCAGAATTTTGTAAGTTTTGATTCAAAGACATGATGCGACTAATAAAATTTTTCGAGAATTCAAATTTTGGTTTAGAGTTTTTATACTTACGGATATTAAAAAATCATGTCACAGCCAAACAAACACATTCGCGACAAAAAAAAAAAATAATTACAAGAAAAAAATTATGTCGCAGCCAGACAAACGCATTTGCGACAAAAAAAAAAAATTACAAGAAAAAAAATCATGTCGCAGCCAAACACATTTGCGACAAAAAAAAACAATTACAAAAAAAATGTCATGTCGCAGCCAAACACATTTGCGACAAAAAACAATTACAAGAAAAAAAACCAATACAAAGAGAGGGTATTTAGATCTCATTAACGAAAGAAATGCGAATTGTCATTAATTAGGGGAAAATTCAGACTAGTAATATTATAGCCTGATGTAATTATAACACGATCATTCAAGCGATTAAATGAATGTATTTATGTAGCGATAACCAACATTGTATGTTTCGCTCAGCGTCACTATCTGCATATTTTGATAAGAAATGAATGTTTCATGTTCATCCTTTTATATTCTAACTTTGTGAATCAAGACAAATCAGCTCTAAGCAATTGTTGGCAACTTTATTGATCAAAAGGCGAAATTGTAATAAAAGCCATCGGTATTTATTAATTTTGTGATTACGCCATAATTACCAGGCCATTATTGATCGAAGGCGAAAGATTAGTAATAAAGGCCATCGATGCTTACTACTGCTATAACATTACGCCATAATTACCAGGCCATTATTGATTGAAAGCGAAAGATTAGTAATTGGTACGTATATACGTACGTACTTTACTAATTTAATTCTCCAATTGGAAATACCACCAATTAGTAAATTTTAAATCATTATTTAAAGTACTACCATTTAAAAAACATCGTTCATGATTCCTTACTTATTGAATTTTATTTGATGTGTCAAAATGACACTTTATTTATATCATGTGAAATATCATGTGGTGTCAGAACTGGTTTTGGACCAGTTCTGCGCTAGTCCCTAAAAAGTTCGGTCCAGACCCGGTCCGAACTCGTTCCCCGTGGACCACTTAACATCCCTATAAATCAAGTTGTTATTGTTATCGAAATGGGCTAACAAAGATAAGCATCGATACAAATCAATTAAGTTGACCATTGTAATCGAAATGGAATTGTGTTAAAGTGAAAGGCATTCATAAAAAGATTGGGGTAAGTTAGATTTTTTTTTGTTCTTACTATTTTACTATGGGAAGTACTTACCCAGAAT